AGCTCGGGCGGCCCCGGCCCTGGCGTGCCTCAGGATGCGCGGCCCCGCCCCCGGCGCATGAGTGGCCCCGCCCCCGGGCGCCCGGGAGCCCATAAAGGTTGGGGACCACTGTTCTAGACCCAGTACCCTCCGCTCATGAGAAGGGCACACTGTCATATAATCTACAAAAAAGTAGCACAGCCTACTAATCTGAAAAGAATGCGACTTCCTCTATCCTGCATTGACTGACTGTTTGCTCATACTAACCCCCCTCAAAGTCCCTTCACATCAGCTTCAGTCCATACCTGCACCTCCTTTATAGCCCTTGTTCCCTTTCCCTTTAGCTGTTCTACTCCTAAGTTCACCATCCCCCAAATGGGGGGAAAAAAATCATTGGCTGTGTCTAGACTGCACCAGTCTAGATGCGGATCTTTTGGAAAATAAAGCCTTTGCCGAAAGATCCCTTATCCCTTATTTTAAGAGATAAGGGATCTGTAGAGATACGAGATAAGGGATCTTTCGGAAAAGACTTTATTTTCCGAAAGATCCGCATCTAGACTGGTGCTTTTTTCCGGCAAAGCTTCGAGCTGGAAAAAAACGGCAGCCATTTTTATGCTAACAAAGCGGGGGAGATTTAAATCCCCGCTTCATCTGCAATTGCGATAGGTCTAATTTGCATCCCTTTTACGAAAAAGGGATGCAGTCTAGACACAGCCATTGAATGTACGTGACATCTACCACAACCATATTTTCACTCTTCTTGTGTGTTATACCCCTTTTCCTATCCTACATCCATCTTGTCTATTTGACCGCTAAGATTTCATTGTTTCCTTGTACTTTCCCTTGAAATCATCTTCTTTTGTCTTTTACATTGGAAACACTTTGGGACAGGGGTAGTCTTTTTGTTCTTTGTTTATACAGCACTTAGCACATGAGGTGCTAGTTCATGATCGGGGCTCCTAGATCCTACTGCAATACAAATAATAGAAATAAGGTCTAACAGAATATAAGAATTTACTCTCAGAAAGTGAAGAAAAAAATGAAATAAGAGATATTTGTGCACAAATTCAAGTGTATGATACATTAGAAACCTTACATGTTCCGAGAAGAATCTTTTGGAGAATGATGCTACAATTCTTCGAGCTTCTAAGCCAGCACTTTGCCGTGCTTTATATTCCTTTAGCCAATTAACACTTTCTGTCTGGCTATAGTATTTCAGTAGTGATGGCCACCTATATAACACACACAGGAACAGGTTCAGTGGTTAATGCTACAACCTCAACAAGACAGTTTAATATTGTAAAATGTTATGTATTGCTAGGCTGTTAACCATCTGTGACTTGAGTACCTGAAACTGGCTCAAGACATGTTCAATTAATCCACATCCTGAAGTAAAAGAAGCAGAGTACAATCCTATTCCTCTCCAGTCTGATTATTTCTGATAATGAGAAGTTACAGTAAACACAAAATAAACATTAAGGGGAAAATGTCAAAGAGGAATAGACACCAGAGACTTCAGTGGGACTTACATTCCTAAATACCTTACGTATTTTTGTGAATCTTTTCCTAAAGCTTTACAAAATTATTTTAAGTCCTTGGCTCAATAAAAAAATAACCTTACAGTGTTAATTTACATATATATATCTATATATTTTAGAGTGCATTTGTCTGCATGTGTGCGAGACCATTTGTTCAAGAACTCCTAAATAGTAACAGCTAGGGCCAGCAAATTTGGCATGCAGCTTCTTCTTCTCCCAATTTAAAACAAGGTCAGGGTTTGGTTGTGCCAGAAGTGGAAGTTCCAGGAAAAGGACTGTTTTCAATAACATGCAAAGGGAGGGCTGTGATATGAGAGTGGCCACTGGGGGCAACAAGCCTGCAGGGGAGAACTATCCTGCAGAGCAAGGCTACTCAACATGCGGCCCATGCCCGTTTGTTTGCAGCCTGCTGTGCAGTTTAGGTTCACATGGGGCTCAACATGTGGCCTGCGGGTGGGATCTTTTGAACATGGCCTCCACTGGAAACACGCTCCACAACAGCGAGGCATCTATCAAGTGCAGTGAGCACTGAAAGACAAAAGCAGACGGGCTGGCTGGAACAGACGGGTCCAGGGTGTCAGCGTTTCTAGTCCCCAGGGAGAAAGTGCAGGGAGCACTGGGGCATTGTGGGAAGTGCTGGATGCTTATCCTTGTGGGCAGAGCCTGAGAGGTGCTGATTAAGGAGAAAAGGGTCCCTAGCGGCCAGGAGGAAGGGGAGGGAGCAAGAGGAGAGAAAAGGTCCATGCCGGATGGGACCTCCAGCTCAGAGCCTCTCTTTAACCCCCCGCTCTCACACTTGCATCCCCATGCCCCAGTTTTTTGCACTACACTTTTTCCACCACACTGCCAGCTCTTTGCTGTGAAGGACCCAGGCAATGCCAGGTAAGTCTGCTAGTTTTCTAATATTAAAGACAAAGCATTTAAAGATGATATTGTTCTCACCTACCAAGATTTGCTCTCATTGCCCTATGCTTTTCCTGCTACAGCTGAGATCTTTAACAACTAAAAAGCGCATTCAGAATGTAGCACTCTACACTGAGTTAGGTGTAAACAATGACATCAGTTACTGCAGGAAAACCACAGAATGCTGAAATCAGATCTTACTAAAGATTTCTACAACTACTTTTAAAATAAAAAAACACATACACAAACATCAAGATGTACCTATTCTGATCAGCGTTTCAGTCTGAAGCCCTTCTCACCATCTCTAAGCCAAAAAATATATCTGCAATGAAAATTCAACTGCAAGTGATATTTTTGACGATAGTATTGACAAAAGCACTATTCACAATAAAGTGGCAAAATTTGAGACACCTACTGAATGGCAACCTTGGTGTAAGAGAACAAGAAACAGCTATGACTTCTCAAAAGACAAAAATATCAGTTGCTTAATGAAGATGTTTAAAAGATGAAGCAGACATGCACTCGGTACAGTTGGAAATATTGTGTGCAGCTTCTTAAGATAAGAGGTCACTTGTAATTTGCAGTAATTTTTTACATTTATTTTCAAGATTCCCATGAACCCTTGTTTCCTTTCACAAATCTGAAATGTAAAAACCCAGTTTTTCTTCAAGCAATGACAAGACCTCCTTTAAATAAATTATGTTCAGATTCTTAAAATAATGAATACTTTATTTCTATTTAATAGATACAATTAATGTGCAGCTACACTGACTGAACTAAAACTATAAGGTGTGTCTAGACTACAAGTCTCTTTCAAAAGAGGCTTTTTTGAAAGAGATCATTTAGACAGCCACAAGACTTTTGAAAAAGCAATCCACTTTTTCAAAAGAGAGCACCCAGGCAATAAATGCCTTTTTTCAAAACAGCTCTTTCTTTAATTTCTTTCTTTAATTTCGAAAGAATGCAACGGCAGTCTAGATGGAGATAAAGGTTTTTCGGGGGAAAAAAAAGGCAATAAAAAAAACAACAACTCCGTAGTGTAGACACACCGATGTTGAATATTTTAGTACTAGCAGTTTTACACAGTGTTGTGTTGGCCCTTAACTTTTTTTTATTATTAAAGAAAGGAAAATGTACATGCTTTATTGAAATGATTGCATTTTTTAAAATAGTGTTATTTTTATGAAGTTCATTTTAGTAAATGTTTTAAATGGAAATTCCATCAAGTGTATTTTTTCATCTCTATGAACCCTTATTTGCTATGTTTTAAAAGAAAAAAGGTTATAGTCAATTTGGCTTCTAATAACACTGTTTTCTATTTTTCAAATCTTAAGCATTGATTTAGCTTTGCTAAAACAGTGCTACTTCAAATTTCTCCATTTTATTTCTTTTCTGTAAAATTTATTTTTGAAGCAATCCCATTCCAGGTTCATACTACTTTTCTGGATCATCTTGGTTCAGTTTCTTTCAACATTCATGGACTATACTTGATTTGGTGCTTCTTTCTCTTTTCTATTTGGATTTATGACACAATATCCCATTCTAGGCACATCCTGTTTTCCTGGCACAACCAAACCTATACATTGCCGTAAGCTGAGATGGGGAATCTTTTTCAGGTTGGGAGCTGCTGATCCACAGAAAAATCATTTGGGGAACTCAAGGTCCAGGTAAGCCGGGAGCCACATCTGGCCCCCAGGCCTCAGGTTACCCATCCCTGTTTTAAATAATTACTTTGATTTAGTGATAGAGATGTAGCCGTGTTAGTCTGGGGGAGCTGAAGCAAAATGCAGGATAATGTAGCACTTTAAAGACTAACAAGATGGTTTATTAGATGATGAGCTTTCGTGGGCCAGACCCACTTTCTCAGATCAAATAGTGGAAGAAAGTAGTCACAACCATACATACCAAAGGATACAATTAAAAAAAATGAACAAATATGAAAAGGACGGTGGTGCTAACTTGGGATGTAAAATCCTGTTTAATCAGTTAATTGATTAAACAACATTAGGGATGGGCAGAGGGGACTGATCCAGTCTGGGGCTGCCACTACCCCCTCTCCCTGCCTGGGCCTGCTAACTGACCCCACCTGGGCTTCCTAGCTCCGTGTGGGTCTGTTGGCTACAGCCCCAGCTCATGGCACTAGGAATGTCTATGAATAGTCGACTATACAATTAACCGATAAACCTAGGCTTATCAGTTAATCTTCTCAACTACACACATGCCCCCCACTTTTTGATCAGAGGCAGCAAGAAGGGGGCAAGAGCTGGTGCTGGAGGGAGCTGGCATAAAGGCCAGTACCCGCCTTCCCAGCTCTGTGGTGTTGCCTGCTCCCTCTCCCTCCACACACTGCTGCCTCTATCAGAGGCAGCAGGGGGCCTCCCACAAACCAGCCTCTGACTGTGGTGGGCCTACGCACCTCACAGACAGAGGCTGCTCCACATCCCACACACTGGCTCCCCCTGCCACCCTACCTCTGGTACAGTACAGTCCTGGAGTGGGACTGGAATGCCCTGGCTGCGGGCCCTGCCTCCAGGGACTATCAAATAGTCATGTAACCACAAAGGTTTAATGCAGTTACACTGCTATTCAATTACCCAATATTTAACATCCCTATGCAGCACCATGGCACGGTGGAGCTGGAGCATCCTTCTGCCCTTGGCATGCTGTGGACAGGGGGGGCTGCTCCTGGGCACCGGTTAACCCGTTACCTGTTCAAATCTCTGATCCTAACTCTTACATTTAGGAGATCTTGATCAAACAAACTCTTTCAAATATATAACCCTACCATTAACTTGCTGACACAGAAACTCAGATGTTAGCCAAATAAATTTGTATTTCTATAGTAGTTTTTATTTTAATGAATCCCTAATTATTCACCCATGACTAAAATGTAGTCACACTGCACCAATACCAATAACTGTGCATTTTATGATTGTAAGTAAAGAATAATTTGTGCAACTGTGAAATTTTAGAGAGATAAAATGTAATTATTCAAAACGGAATCTGGACAGGATTACAAGGTCAGTGTCTAAATCCTTGCCATGCTACTGGGACATGAGCATTTACTAATCAAGCACCATAATCAATTTCAAGAATGGCTCAGAACCATTCTAAAAGTTCAGGCTTGCTTCTGAAATTATAACTACTGAATTGATGAACATATCTGGCTAGCAACCCAATGTCATAGCTGAATTGATAAACTAGCTACTGTTCAGCAACCGCTTTCACAGGTGGAGAAAGAAAAATATTTCACTGGAATTAACCTAAGTTTTAGAAACCAACTGGCAGGTAGCAAAAGCAACAATTTATATTCTTGAGCCAAGACATGAACAAAACCAGGTAGCAGATGAACTTATTCTTTTCTTGAATGCCCAGTGGCACACATCTATCTAGTACTTTCACAGACACTGAAACTAAAGTAGCATTAAAACTAAGAATACCAACAGTCGTGCTATAGCTCCAGCTCTCATGTTTTGAGTCAATTTATTTTATCTACAACAGACTCCAGTGGTATAGTACATGTAATACAATGCCTATTACAATGAAAATTACTTTCTTATGCATCACATATTTTATGTACTGTGGTATTTTTTCTATTTATTTTAATTATCACAGATTATAAAGTAATCCTTGTCTTTGGAACAGTATGTTGTATATTCAAACAGAAATTTTATAAGTGTTCAATTTTATCTGTTAAAATTAATTAGAATTTTTTTATCTGTTGAGTTTATGATTTCTGAAAATGTGAATTGAGTGGATGTAATCTCTCGTACCACCCAATTTGACAGCTCTACAATAGCTTATATTGTACAATATCCGCTACCACCTGCTAAAGCAGCAAGACCCTGCTTCAACACCATCTTCAACAGAAGCAAGCAATTCTGCCATGTTCCTGGCTCCTGGAAGACATCCATGATAGACTTCATGCATAAGAAAGACCAACAAGGCAGCTGTAATAACCATTAGACCTGTCTTCCTCTGCTCCACCATTTACAAGAAGATAGTAGCCTCACAGTGAGGATCACAGACTAGGCGGTGTGTGGGGGTGCCATGAGCTTGACACAGAAGGGCTTCATGTCAAGGGGTACTATGAGCACCTCTTCACCCTTCAGATTGCCATCCAGACAGCCAGGAGGTCTCAGAGGCAATGTATTGTAGCCAGGCTTGACCTGGACAATGCCTCCATCACATCTCTGACACCTTTGGAGAGTTTGGAATGCCAGAAACCTTCATCCAGGTGCTACGGAACCTCTACCAGGACTGCACCATAACCATCCTCTTCAAGGATTGAGAAATGGATGCTATCCCCATCTCCTGCAGTGTGAAACAGAGCTGCCCTCTCAGCCCCATCATCTTTAACATGGCTATGAAGCCACTCTTCCAAGCCATCTACAGTGGCCAGGCCAGGTTTGACCTGCATAGCAAGAGAATCAACATCCTAGCCTATGCAGATGACCTAGTCACCAACAGCTTGGAGAACCTCCAGTAAATGTTTGATGTTGCCAGCCCAGCTGCTGAGGATATGGGTCTCCGCTTCAATGCCTGCGCCTCCTTCCACGTCGACAGCTGCGTCAGGGACCTGAACTGGGCTAGGGATGTGAATGGTTAACCAGTTATGGTTAACTGGTGGTGGCTAGAGCAGCCTTTGTCTGCGGTGGGCCTGGCCTGGGCATGCAAAGGGCAGGGGAGCTCCATGCTAGCCTTAGCAGCCCCCATCCACAGTTGACCTGGCTGGGATTCAATACGAGCAAGAGCGCTTCAGTCTAGCCAGAGCAGACCCTGTCCATGGTGGGAGGAGGCACTCCAGCCTATCGGCATCAGCTCACTCCAGCCTGCACCCATTTAACTGGTTAAACAAAGTTTAACTGGTTAATGAATTAAACAGGATTTTACATCCCTAATCCAGGCCATGTGGTTCCTGATCCAGTGTGGGCTCATAGCCTTCTTCAAAGAGGGAAGGTATATCAGCATTTAGGCACCCCCACAGGTATCCATGTGTGACAGACCCCTGAAGACACCATTGCAGAGACAACTTCTCCCTGCTTGCCCCCGGTACACCCTGAACATCTTCTTGATCCCTCACTTTTCCTTCATCCTCAGGGGATCAGCTGTAGCCAAGGTACCTCTGAACAAGGTAGATGACGCCATAGGGCAGCTGGTGAGGAAGTGGCTCTGCCTTCCCTAGAGGGCTAGCGCAGCATTATCTATATCTCCCACGGGGGCAGTGCCAACCAGCTTAGGTACCAGTGTTCACTCACACCATCTGCCTGCTGTCCTGTCTGGACCCCATGGTAAGCAGCATCACCAAAAGCGTTGTGTGGGATAAGGTCAGCGAGGATAATGTCAGGACCTCCTCTGAGCAGGATGTCATCACGTACCTCAAGGCAGCTTCCTGGAGGCCTAGTTCAGAAAACAGGGGAAACACTTGCTCTCACTCTGGTCCTGTGCCTTGTATCACCTGGGAAAGAGGATCAGCTGCTGCTGGATGTGATGTGAAATGCGTTGGGAGTTCTGGTGCCATGCGTCAAGACCTTGGACAATACCATCATCACCCCACCCACTAGAACGATGCTGGAAAGAACCCCAAAAGACACTACTGTACCCACTATTACAATGCGGAGTACCTCACGTGGAAGCTAGACCAAGGCAAGGTGTTTGAGGTAACCAGTAAGTAGCACACCAGCAATCCACTTCACCATCTGGTGGTTTGTCTGGCAGGCCTGCCTATAAGAAGCAGCAGCATGGAGGTGGAGCAGAGTAGGCTGCCATGAAGCAGCAAACTCTGTCCATGGGGGGCTCCGACCTCTAATGGAACAGGACAAGCACTGCAGGAGGTGCAGCTTTGCCAATGAGATGCTGCTCCACGTCTTGTGTGGCTGCCAGACCCACCCCAGGGCCTGGCAAATCTGCCACAATGCCATCCAAGACCAGCTGGTCAAAGCAGGGATGTTAGATAGTGTATAACTGAATAGTTGTGTAACCGCATGAAACAGTTACACAACTATTTGATAGTTCCAGGGGACAGGGCCAGCAACCAGTGTACTTCCAGCCCCACTCCTGGGGAACCCTCTGCTACCTCACACCGCTGCCTCTCTATCAGAAGCAGCAGTGTGGGGTGGCAGGCAGGAGCATGGCTACTCTTCAAAGGCAAAAGTGCTGCGAGAGCATGGGGCCAGCAGGGGATTCAAGAAGTACCCCACTGATTCCATGCTCCCTGCAGCATTTCAAAGTGGCAGCGCCGCATGCAGCATTTTGCAGCAGCATCCCCACACAGCACTGCCGCTTTGAAACACTCCTTCTTCTACCCCCTCCACACCTAGCCCCGGCCTGCATGCGACATTTCAAGTGTATCGGAATTGACTAGTCATTCACACCTCTAGCGCAGATTGGCTCCTGCCTGCTACCCTGCCTGCCTCCCTTACTGCCTCCTACAGAAGTGGGGGGAGGCGGGAGCTGATGCTGCTTCCCCCCATGCTGCTACCTCTATCAGAGGCAGCAGCACGGAGGGGGGAGCAGGGAAGGCTGCCAGGAAGCAGCAATCCCTGTCCATGGGGAGCTTGGGCCTATCATGGACAGGAGCTGCTTTGTGGAATCAAGGCAGCAGCATGGGGAGGGGGCAAGAGGCATCACGGAGCTGGTGCTGGGGCAATTGGCTCCTGCCTACTCCTCCAGTATCTATAGGAGGCAGGGGAGTGGCAGTGAGTGCCTCTCGCTCTGCACTGCTGCCTTTGTATCAGAGGCAGCTGTGCAGGGGAGGAGAAGGCAGGGGGTTCTGATGTTTATGGGGAGCAAGCTTAAAGCCAGCTCCCCACTGGCACCAGCTCTGCCTCCCTCTCCGCTGCCTCTGATACAGTGGCAGCAAGGGGGGGAATGTGTGTATTCGACAGGATTAACCAATAAGCCCAGATGTATTGGTTAATCATGTAGTCATTTTCATGTTGACATACCTAGGTAAAAAGGTATCCTGCTGATGCTGGGATGCTTTGCCGTTGTCTCTATTGTCCCTGGAATGGACAGACTGCTGCAATCCTCACTTGTCATGACCAGTGAGGACTAGGAGAAGGTCATCATGGTGGACGTCACAGTATCCTTCAAGAACAGGACCCTGGCCGTCCAAAGAGTCCAAGCTCCAAAAATCATGAAGTATACCCTGCTGGTGGACACCTAGAGACACTGGGGCTACGAGGCCCAGACCCACATCTTGATTGTGGGAGCCTTGGGCACATGGGACCCATCCCACAAAGAGCTGGTGCTGCGAAAGTGTGGCATTGTATGGTGCTATGCCCAAATCATGAAGCAGCTGACGGTGTCCAATGCCATCCAGTGGTCCAGACATCTACACAAAGCACAGCACGTCATGGGCCACCATCAGTATGGGACAAATGACCAAGACCGCTGCCGAGAGACACATTCAGGGTCCTTCCCTGACAGACTACATATCTTTTCAGAGAAGATCCACGAGCCAAAGATGGACCAAGGGTTGCACTTCTGCCACGTGTCTCTGTGCTTTACCTCCAGAGATGGTTAGTCTGTACCCTCATTGGGAGGTATCCCCAAGAACACTTATTCGCCAACTCTCCAAACATTCGCCGATTTTAATCTGGCACGATGAGAGGATGTGTTACCTAGGGAGATGGTAGAATCTCTAGCCCTAGAAGTTTAGTTGGGGTTGGTCCTGCTATGGCAAGGGGCTGAACTGGATGACTCCTGAGGTCTCTGCCAGCCCTAGGATTCTAGGATGGTGACGCATCTCGCTCACTGTGTAAAGCGAGGCCGATTTCATCACCAAACACACAGCCCCTCTCCCGGCTCAGCCCCAGTGCCCCTCCTGCTAGGCCAAAACCTTCCCCTCTCCCGCTTGGCTGGAACCGCCCACCCTCCC